GTGAGGTTCACAGCGCGAGTTTGTGTTACGTTTAAACACGCTTCCTTCTCCATTGATTTTCATTTTGTGAGCTGAAGACGGTGAGCGTTCGCTGCACTGGTAGCACCAGCGTCTCCTACCTGCTGCCGTCCCGCAGAGGAGGTCTCAGGTAACAGAGGGCAAGTGGGGAGAAACGCTGGTGGGGCAGGTCACAGTCATCTTCAAAAAGGGGGATGCAAAGCGATGCAATTTTTCAGGTTGCTAGCTAACCAAACAAGTCGTTCTAAGTCAAACAACACTTTGTTTAACCAAAAAGTTGTGTTTTCCATTGGGAGTAAAAGATTATCTTTACAAAGAAAAAAAAATTTGTAAAAATCAGAGAAAGAGAGAGAAAAGAAAACCACACTGCTGAAAAGCATATGGCAAATCCCTGTCAAATTCGTCAAGTCGATGAAAAAATAAAAGCATTTGGTTCATCGTCTCCCTTGGCCATGCCTGTGCTGCCATCTGCAGGCACTTGCCCCTGCCCAGCCAAACGCTGCCTGCTCGTTCCAACAGCCAAGCACTCAGGGACCCATCACCTTTTAATACTACAGTTGTGATGCTCTTTGCCGTGGGAAAGCTTACTAGATTTCTGAGCAAGGGTCTCCACACCTGGTGGGATGGAGAAGAGATCTTGCCCCAACACCAGAACCTGCAGTTTACCATGCAGCTGGGACCAAAGGTGCCCAGGCACCACGGAAAGCCCCTCGAAACAGACCCCTGCCCTCCACTACCCCAATAGCTTCAGCCGGCTACAGCAGCCTGCACTGCCTGCTTAAACCAGCAGAGAGGTGTATTTAGGAAAAGCAGGGATCCCAGCACCCAAATCCCTTATGTCTGGCGTGACTGAGCTCAGCCTGCCATGATGGGCAATGCTGCCTGCACTTGGCTGCATCGGTGCCTGGAGTTGAGCCTCTGCCTGCTCCATGCTGAGATGGGGACAGACCTGGCACGGGCAGAGCATGTGTGTGAAAATGCTGACAAATATTTGGGATTGACCGGGGGGGTGGTGGGAACAGTGGCTCATCTGTCCCTTAGTGCAGCTGGCCGACAAGCCATGAAACCCTGTCCACAAGCAGGACAAAGGTCCATCTTCAAGTTGGTTTCTGATTCCACTGCTCAGACCTGATCTCCTTGCTTTGTAGGAACCTCCTCCTCCTTTCCTCCTAACCTCTGCGCTCATTTGTACTTCAACAATTAGTTGCCATATGTCTTCTCCATCCTGAACTGCTTCCAGCCCCATGGCACCCGCTGGAAGGGCAGGTGGGTGGGTGAGCAGCCGGGCTCCCACCTGCAACCCTAAAACCCCCAACCCAAGCCCCCCGGCAGTGGGGCTCGCCCCCCCACCCCTGCCAGGCTCAGGGTGCTCTGCCGCCCACCCATCCATTGCCGCTCCGATGCTCCCATCCTTGACAGAAATCCACCCCCTGCCCGCCCCAAACTGAAATTTCTGCAGAAAATGTGTAAAGGGCATTTTCCACCAGAAATCTGTTCCAGCAGAAGCCTGCCCACCAGCTCAGCCCGCTGCTTCCCCGTGCTGGACTGGGTCCCCATGGGAGCCACTCTCCAGCGTGCCCTCCCCCCCCCATCCCACCCCAGGGGGGCCAAGGCAGCCACCCCAGGGTGGCCAAGGCAGGTCCCGCAGGAAGAGACACTGGTGGCTTTTTTGGCACACGCAGTCAGCAGCACAAACCCCTCTGAGCAGCCCAACGTCCTGGCCATGGCCATGTCTGCAGAGTAGCTGCCTCCACGCGCAGCTGCCAGCCACGCCATGCCACGCCGTGGCTCTTCCAGCCCAGCCGGACCCCCGCGCCGCTCTGCACACGAAGCCCCCCGGCCGCTCAAACCCAGACCACCCCTCCACCACGCTTTCTGCCACCTCTGCAACGAGCCCTGGCCACAACTTGAGGACCAATTTTTCAGCACCTGGCCTCTCCCTGCCAAAAAACTGGCAATACAAACCCAGTGATTATTTGAGGGCTTTGCCTTTTTGAAGCAAACAGTCGCTGGGGGAATGGAAATCTCTGTTGACCCGCTGGAGAGGAGCCAAAGCCAGCAACCACAGCACCCAGCCTGCGGTGTGCACAGCACACGACTCCCACATCTCCCAAACGAGGGCTGAGTGCCCACGTTTGCTTTGGGTCCGAGCAGACCTTTCCACCTCCCCTCCAAGTTCTGGAGCGAAAATCCCGAGCCCCTCACCTGCCTGGAGGGGCAGGAGGGAAGGCAGGGCTCCCCCCCCCGGCAGCCAGCGCACAGTCTCTCCTCTCTCAAAGTGCTCCCACTCCTTCATTAGCTATGCGGCAGAGCTGGAGAGCACAGTACGTTTCCCTGCCTTTTTGGAAAAGCCAACAGATGACATGTTTTCACCAACACCTCCATAAAGGGCCAGAAATAAAACAGTCTTTCAAACCCAGATGAAGAAAAGAAAATCCAGCTGCACAGAAAGGGGCCGGGGGAGTTTCTCCCCTGCCTTTGGAGCTATGGGAACACGGCTCCGCTGTCAGGGAGCCCTTGGTGCCAGCGTGAGGGCAAGCTCTGCGCCCCATCGGCCTCTGATGGGAGGCTGGGTACCAGTCCTGCCTCATCCTCTGCAGGGAAGGCGCCTGGGAAGCAGGACTTCTGTGAAAGTTGTGTCTAGTTCACTGAAGCTCTCCTTTAAGGACAAATAAAATAAAAAACAAAATGGGGGAAAAAAAGAAACACAACTTTTCCATTTTTCATTAATATTTTCAATAACTTGGTATTTTTCTTGAAAACATTTCTGATGGCTCTCTAGGCCAGAAAGGATCTTGGCTCTTCTCCACACTCCCGGATCACACCTGAGCATTTCCTTATACGAGGCTGGGGTCACCCGTGCCACCGCCTGCCCACCCTCGGGCACCTCCACAAGGCGTGGGAGCTGCTGCGCCCAGCACGGACCAACGCTCCTCTCGGTCTCCCATCACCCTGGGGGGACTGGCTCGGGCCACCCCTCGACGAAGCAGGGAAGGGGCAAGTGGGGCTGGTTTGGGAGGGCTGGAGCCCCCCCGCCGGGATCACACGCGTTGTAGCTGTCTCTGTTCAGATCTGCTCTGCCGAGCCTGCCCTCTGAAGCAAGAAGGTGTCAGCCCAGAGTAGCGAGACCTTGACAGCCCCACAGCCTCGCACTCTCCCTGGGGGATAAAGCGCCCGTTAGAGCATCGATGAGCACAGCGGGACGCCTCAGAGATGATCTCATCCCACTGAAGCGAACCCCCGTGGATGTCGCGGCATCTCCTGCTGCCAGCCCAGCAGCCCTGCAGGATGCTGGAAACCAGAGCTCTCCAGGAGGAGCCAGCCAAAGCTGGTGGGATGACGGAGAAGGATCCGGTCCTCGTTATCGGTGTCATCAGCCTGGTACCCCCCGGGGCCCACTCAGAGAGGCGGCTGACCTTTGCAGCGTGGGCAGGTAGGTGCCATTTTACACCCCACGGTCTTAAATCATCCTGTGAACAACCATGAACAGCTCAGCAGCCCCCCGTAGAGACCGTAACCGCCCGGAGCTGCCTGGTTACCCAGCGCGTGCAGAAACCTCCTTCCCCAGCGCAGCACTGGTCTCGGCCTTCCTGAGACGAGTGAAAACCGTTTCTCTTCGAGAAACCCCAGCTCTTCTGCAAGCTGCCTGCCTTGCCCACAGAGAGCTCTCCCTGCCTCCTACCCCCTGCCGTCACCCGCACCACGAGACACCGTCACCAGCACCCGACAGAGAGAGTCACATCTTCGGTCTGATCTCTCCATGCAGGGCACAAGAGGCTTTACAAGAATACAGCTTATGTTTCATGAGATGCTTACAGGTCACGGGGGAAGCGGTATCTTCTGGGAACCCAAAATCCAGGTGGCAAAAGCCTTTAGAGATGGAATAATCCTGTTTCCTGCCACAAACCGAGAACAGAGGAGTTCCAGGACAGAGGAAACCAGGATGGGGGACAAGGGGTTTCCCCATGGGTGGCCATCGGGTCCCTGGGACACTCAGGGCAGGGTAGGAGCCTCTGCTGAGCCCGTCACTCCCTGGCTGCCTGCAGCCTCCTCCCGCCCCGTCTCCCGCTGCCTGGCACATCCCCGGAGGCAGACACCGCGAGATGGCACTGCCACTCTGTGCCTCCCCTGGGGATGCACCCATGCGGGATGGCTCCTGCCTGCCACCCATCGCTGGGGTGGTGGGGATCCACGCCAGCCCCGGTCAGGGCGTCCTGCAGAGAGCTGCAGCAGCCTGCCCTGCGAGCGCTACGCCGTGCTCCAGCTCTCCATCAGGGCTGGGAAACAGCAAGGAAATGTGAAGAACAACAGTTATCTTCACCACGGCAGTGCGGAGGGGCTGATGTCCCTCTGTGCCCCCCCAGTGTACAACCACACCGCAGGGACAGCCTGCCCCAGCAGCCTCTGAGCACCAAGCGGGAAGGCAGCACACGCCTTGGACAGAGCGGGAGGCCGTGGAGCCTCCAAATCGGTGGAAGAAGGTTGCAAAGCTCTAGTCAGATAAAAGGACCATCCAAGATTCCCACCAAGACCTGTACAGGCCCAGGTACCATTAAGGGCATAGAAAGAACAGCAGGAGATGGATGTTCATCACATGGACAGCACAATACAAACAACACACTTTTTCACACGGCATAGCTAAACGGAGGAGCTTTCTGCCACCCCTTCCCAGGATGCTGCAAATGCAGAAAATTTTACATGATTCAAAAAGCAGTTTGAAAAGTCTGTAGCTGGAAAAGCTGTTTAGTACAGATAACCCCTGGAGCCCCAGCCAGTGCTTGCCAGAGGGCAGGAGCGTGCCCAAAGAAGGCTCAAAGCCTCGTCCTGCCTTGCCAGGCGCCTGCTCCTGACCAGTCAGACGCTGGGCACTGCACTCCCCGGACCCGCCGTGGCTGGCACTGCTGTCAGCATGGCACGCGCCAGCAGCGAGGGGCAACCGGGCGACCCTGCGTGCAGGGTTTGTACCTGGGTCGCGCACCTACCTACGACGGTGAGCACATCCTTCTCGATGTCAGCCCTGATGTATATCCGTCCCCTACGCTCGGTGTGGTCCGTCCCACACAGACTGGGGACGTTCATCACGCAGCGCTTGTGCACGTTCATCATACAGGCTGCGGGGTGGAGAGAAAGAAAGGGACACTCAGCACCCCTGTCACCTCTGCCAAAGCTCACGGGGTGTTCAGAGGGGATGGGGGTGAAAGAACCTGTCCTCCTTTTAAATAGGGATGTTTGTGAGGGATTCCGGGATAAACATGCAGCAAATGGACCTTCAAACGCAGCTGGAGATTCTGGAAGAGCCCTGCACGGACACAGGGACCCACCACCACCAGCAGTTCCGGGTCTTGCCTACAGAGATTACAGGGCTTTTAGCCCTTACTCTAACTACTCGAGTTTTGCTGATTTATCAAACTTCTCCTCCATCACAGCCATGGTGCAATGCTGGGTATTCAGCTGGATCCACCAGGAGCTGATAAGGGGCATTAAAAATTACTTGCGTATGTGTATACAGATATACATGTATAAAAATTTATATATCTAAAATATATAAATATATATATAAAAATTTGTATTTTAAATTCATTTCCACTTGGTAACATTTTAAAGGTGATAATGAATACACTGTTCCCACAACAGTCAGCAAGCTTCTATATTTATGAGAAAGCCAGCACATGGCGAGCAGCAGAGTATGCTGCTCCCCGCAGACGGCGTAAGCATGTAAGCAGACGCTGTATATTCACAGTCCTTTTAAATAGGAATGTACAAGATTAACTTGGAAAATAACTGATCTCTCTCTCCATCCTCTCCCTCTTCTTTCATCCCCCCATTTTCTCCTCTCTGTGCAATAATTCCCCGGGTACTCCTGTGCCCAAGGTCAGGCTTGTGCAGACCCAAGTGCTCTGGAGAGGCTGTGTCACCGCAGCAGGCACTGCCACGGCCACAGGGTGTCAGTCGGAGCCGGCGCTGCAGAGAACCGAGAACTGGAGATGATGCTGCAGGGGGGGATGCGGGTGATGCTGCAGGGGGAATGTGGGCAGGATCCCCCCCCGGCCAGATACCTTTCCCTCCCCTCTCCCTGCAGGACTCACGGGGGCTCCCCATGAGAGGTCAGAAGGTGCCCACTCGTGCCCGGCCCCTCGGGTGCCAGGCAGCCCTGAGCGTGCTCCGCACCCGGTGGCAGAGGGGACAGGCTCTCGGCCGCAGCTCAGGCTGCAGCCCCTGCGCTCCCCTGGGAGCCCCTGCCCAGGACCTCGGGCTGCCAGAACCCCCCACAGGGTGCCAGAGCCCCCCACTGCTGCAACCGCAGCCACCGGTTACGTCACTTACTGTCACATTTCATCCCCTGGTGAATGAGCCCGTACAGCAACGACCCGCAGTGGTCACAGAAGGTGGGGCTGGAGTACGTGTGGATTTTAAATTTGTGTTTGCTCCGGGGATCCTGGGAGGAAAATAAAAGATAAAGATTATAAACTTGCATCAAATATTGGCAAGGCACCACCGCTCTCCACATTTCACATGCCAGCTGGCTTCGGAGGTGCTGTTAATGGACTTCAGTCAACTGCCACCAACTGATGTGGACCTTTTCCAACAGTCGCCAAGATCCAGCTTTATTACTCTTTATATGTGTTGCCATAACAATAAAAAAGCAATGCATTGGCTTGTCTAGGGATTTATTGTTTTTAAATAACTCGGTCTTAGCATAGGAAACACCAGGTGAAATTGGTATGTAAGAACCAACATAAGGGCTGGATACTACTCAGCTTCCGCGTCAACCCAGTGGGGTAAAGCAGAAAAAAACCACCCATGATTTCCATCTATATTAAGACTACCCAGTAAACATCTCTGTGCTCTGGTGACAACCCCTCCCCAGCACGCTCCCAGGGAATCAAGCTGCTTAGGGTATACTTTAATATTTTGAGCTTTCTTAAAACCAACGGCAGACTTTTCTGCAACAGCCGAGCAGGCAAAACCAGGAGAGCCCAGTTTATCCTGGACACTGCAGTCTTGCACAGGCACCTTGCAAACAGGGCTCCTGGACTCCAGCAAGGGTCTGCAGAAGTTAAAGCCAAACAAACTCAAATGAAAAACAACTTCTCAACAGGGAGATAGGATCAACCACTGGAACAAATGACTGAGGCAGACCAAGGATTTGGTATTTCTTGGTATCTTCCATGCAAGACAAGACAACGCTGGAAGCCCCGATCAAACCTCAGTTATTCAGCCCAATGCAGAGCAACTTTTAAGACAACACAAAGTTACGCAGGAGACAGGACTAAGCAACAGAATGTCTCCTGCTAGCCCCAAAGCAGCACAGACAACATTGGTTTAAGTTGCTGTAGTTATGGGAGAAGCTGGGGCAGCAAACCAGAGCCCCAGCAGCGGCCTGCTACTCACTGCCCTGCCCCGGGAGCTGGAGAAACCCCAGCGGAGGGGCAGGGACGTCACCGCCGGGACCGTGCGGGGACCACGGGCACACTGGGGCAGAGCCAAGGCCGATGCTGGGGTGGGCAGTGTTGTTCCTGCGAGGAGAGCCCAAAGCAGCACGGCTTTGCAGAGGAGGGTGCTGGGGCAGCCTGCCCGCGTGCTCAGCACGCTCGGTAGCAGCACACACACAAGCAAGGGGGAAGACTATGGCAAGTAGCAGCTGGCTTAATTTCATCTCAGGTTAATTGTTTAAGGGTTAGGGATGAGGCATAGCTCCTGGCTCGGTCATTTGAGCTGACTGGCTTTTTAATGGCCTGGAAGAGTGCCCAGGCATTAGGAAAGACACCTTTTCAGGGCACTGTAAGCTAAGTAAATAAATAAAGAGTGGGGTCAGAACCGAGCTATAACACAGCTGCCAATACATTACCTTCCCCTGAAATTAGTTTTCTTACCGCTATCGCATTGAAGCTTTCAGTTGCATTAATCACTAACATTGTGCATTATTTCACAGCATCCCAGATAACTTGAGTGATACCAGAAAGGTGAAAAGTAATGGAGCTTCATTTAATTCGATCTGTTAAGTGCAAGGGATTAGGTACATGCTTCAGCAAATTTATTGTACTTGAAACTGAAAATATCTCACATTTAACCCTAAGCAAACCACTTCTAGATACAGAGTGCAACATGCCTCTGTCTGGTAGCTCATGTGTCAGCTGTGTGGCAGGAAACCTAAGAGCATGAAGGTCCATGATGAACCTGTCTTCTGCTACCAAAAAGATAGTTCATGAAGCGACCCTGTGCATTTGAAAGCCTTTTGCATTCCCCAGAGATGTGAGAGCACAGAAAACTTAAACCTGGGTTTTAGGCTAGAAGCGGGTGGGGAATTTCCCCCCGTGAAAGCTTTGGGCTGGCAGACCGCAGGCAGCTGTGGCTTGAGCCAGGCAGCCGAGGGCACATACGGTGCTGCAGGCAGGGTAACACCGAGCACTGCTGCCCAAAGCGCAAACGGACACCATGATCAACACATACGCCTTTTAAAGAGACTTACAGGTTTAGTCAGATCCTTCCACTGGACGTGTTGAAAACTTACCCTGCTTGATTTTATAACCTGAGCTCTGTTTGTACAGCAGCTCAGGACCATCTCCATAAGCAGCTTTGCCCGTACAACACGGAGCTCTTTAATCGGCGTGAACCAACTCCCGGCATCTCCCAGGGACCGGCCCTGGCAGCCGAATGCCGGTGGGCACGGGGGCAGCGCCCGCAAGCCCATCAGTACATACGCAGGAATGGCTTGGGCTACCTCCCTGGAGATGAGGCACCCAAGAAAATGAAAAGCTTTCTTTTGCCACCATCCCAGGAGAAAGGAGGTCTCTGGCCGGCCGGTCGGACACGGACCCACGCATCCTGCAGAGCCCCCCAGGCACAGCGCCCACCCCCACCACACCACGCTGCAGAGGAGGGCAACCCCGGGGATGCTCGGGCATCGGCCCACCATCGCTGAACCCTCCGTTGGTGGCAGGACGAGGGCCGGGAGGGCATGGGAGCAGCTCTAGCAGAAGCCACGTGCCAGTCAAACCCCAGCATGTGACACAGGGAGGAATCGCCCCCGAGTGCTCCAGTTTCTGTGTTCCCTTCTAGAAACAGATATTCCTGTTTAGGTAAATGAAAGCTTTAGTCATTCATAAAAAACACAAGCTTAATGCAAAATGAGACAATTTCCACTTCATGCGAAGGATTTTAAATTCCCACTGGGAGTTCAACAAAAGCCAGAGCTAGAAAAGCAAAGCATGCACCGAGCAGTGCGGCGGCAACAAGAGTGTGCTGGCACAGGAACAGCCGCAGGTTTCCAAACTGCTCCCTCAGCACCCCAGCCCTGCGAGCAGGCACCCTCTGCTTGGGGGGAGCCGGATCCCTCACGGGGGCGTTTCAGGTTCCACCTTCTGCTCCCACCCCAGAGGGGCTGTTCTGGGAGACCCGGCACCCAGAGGGCCAGAGCCCAAAGGGCACGAGGGTGATGGAGGCAGCCAGGCGTGGGGAGGCAGAGCCGCTTCTCTGTCTGCTGGGGGCCCGTTTCACCTCGACCAGTGCTTTAGAAGGTGCCAGAAACTGGAAATTCTGGATATCATTTTCAAACGAGGCTGAAGTCGTTTCACAAAGAGACTATTTTTGTACCACAGAGACAGGGATGACGAGATCACTGCGTATGCAGATGCTGAGAGACTTAAAACAAGAATGGTTAAAAAGAAGTTTGCCAAGAAAAGAAAAGGCGCTCCTCCTCCACCCTACCAGCACAGAGCCGTCCCTGAAGAACAGAGCAGAAAAAGGTTTCTTTGGAACAAAACTGAAAAATGCTATTAAGAGTTTTTTACCGCACCGAGAGTCTCTGACCTTTCTAATCAGCGCTGCCTCAGATCTGTCATCCTCCGAGCAGAGGCATGCATGCGTGTTCTGAGGATGTGAGCCCAAATGAGGGAGCCAAAGCGTGAGCCAGGGAAGGAGAGGAGCAGTTGTTGACTTTGACCTTGTACCCTGCAAGCACCGACCCACCAGAGGCGGCTGGCCTCTGCTTCTCAACTTGACAGCAGGTTTCTGGTCTGAAACGAGCCAGTGCAATATTGCATCCCCAACTTATTGCATCCCCGACTTGCAGAGCAAACCTCGCAGCCCCTGGCTTCCCAGAACCGCACACACCTCTAGTTGCTCCTACCCGAGCTGGCCCCGGCCGTCCCACCGCAGGCACAGGCGGCTGTGCACAGCCTGCGGCTCTGTGGGCTGGGGCTGACAGCAGCCCGAGCAATCCTGCTCTCCCAGGAAAGCAAGAAATTCGATTCATAAGTGAGTAATCAAGTCGTGGCCTTCAAGACACTCTGAGCGCAGCCCAGCCGGACCCTTATGCAGGCTCAGCAGTCACCTGTGCCTTTCTTCAGGGTCATACCCACCACCGAGCTCGCTGAATGACTGCATCGATGTAACGTATGCTTTCCTAAAAAAAAATCCTGACGGAGATGCTGGTGCAGGAGCCACTGCTTATCAATTACGTGCAGGCAGGCAGCTGGTGGCATTGATCAGATTGACAATTTATTCACTGCTCCTAGTAGCCAGGAATCCGTTTGCTCTTTTGCGGCAGCCTGTCAGGATGGAACTGGGCAGAGGCTCGTCAGACAGCAGCAAGCCAAGGCGTGAGAGCAGAGCGGCAGGGCAGCACAGCACTGACTGGCAAGCAAAGGCATTTTGCTTCAGCTATTTCTCATGCAAAGTCCATGTCCTGGCAAGGGCAGCAGCCCTCTGTCGTACCCAGAGTTGCAAACACTGCGCTGGATGCCCTCGGGGCTTTTATTTACTTCTGCACTAAATTCAGCTTTGCCTGGCTCAGAGGGAACGCAGGCATCGCCTCTCCCTGGGGCAGGGAGGAGGTGGGAGGCAGAGGGAGGACCAGACCCTTCCTCAGGCCCAGCAGTCTGAGCCGTAAAACATTTTTAGAACGTGTCCAGCTCACTTGGGTTCACCTCTAAAATACGTCATATATGAAGAGGCACTTCGGTTTTCTTCTGCGGGCCCCAGCTCCCATCACTCCCCCGGAGCACGGCACCGCTTGTCCTTCAGCAGAGTCCAGCCGCGCTGCTCTCCCCAGGGAAGCAGGCAGCCCAGACCTGCACCCGTGGGGCTGACGTTATTTTAATCCTTTGTACTTGTGTCAAAATTTCCTGGACTCTACAGAACAGCCACAGAGGTTTGATTCAAAATTATGCACCCCTGCTTTCCCCACCTCATTGCAGAGAAAGCTTTAAATTATCCCTTCCAAAGAAGAATAAACACAGTTCATGTGAAGAGTATTTTAAAGTGAATTTCATAGCAATTTAAGCAGCACGATAGCAGAGCAAATACAACACAGCAACAGCTTACTGTCTGCACCTAATGAAACCCAGGCAGGGGACATAAAACCAAAACCCTTGCGTTTTGTTCCCACATTTCCCCTGGGCAAAATCCCCCCCGGTACATAAGGAACAACTCACA